CCGTATCTGCCGTTTTTTATATTGTATGTGTTTTTTTGGCAATTCCTATAGGAGCAATGCCAGCCAAGCAAGAAGGTGTATAGTCGATAATTATACGGTAAACTTTGCATACTTTCTCTCTTCATTTCGGCTAAACACGACGGGGAGAGGGGGGGCACAGCTAGGAGCATCCTGGGGAGAGGGGGGAGCACAGCTAGGAGCACCTCGGGAGAGGGGGGAGCACAGCTAGGAGCACCTCGGGAGGGGGGAGCACAGCTAGGAGCACCTGGGGAGAGACGGGGGGGGGGAGCCCCAGCCACGTAGCCAGCCTCGGCTGCAGGGAGCGAGGCTGGCAGGCGGTGGCGGCGCCGGCTATGAGCCTGTCCCCCGCTCCCACGCGTGCTGGCACAGCCCCCAGGCTCAGGAGACTCAGGCCCCGTCTCTGACGGCTCCCGGCAGACAACCCCGAGGGAGCAGGCTTCAGGATCTGAGCAGTCGTTTTTAAACTTTTTAAAGGTTCCTGGCCGGCGCCGTGGCTCACTTGGCTAATCCTCCACCTGCGGCGCCGGCATCCCATATGGGTGCCGGATTCTGTCCCGGTTGCCCCTCTTCCAGGCCAGCTCTCTGCTGTGGCCCGGGAGTGCAGTGGAGGATGGCCCAAGTGCTTGGGTCCTGCACCCCATGGGAGACCAGGAGAAGCACCTGGCTCCTGGCTACGGATCAGCACAGCGCTGGCCATGGCGGCCATCTGGAGGGTGAACCAACTGAAGGAAGACCTTTCTCTCTCTCTCTCTCTCTCTCTCTCTCACTGTCTAACTCTATCTGTCAAATAAAAAAATAAATAAAGGTTCCTTTTTATTTGACAGGCAGAGTTACGAGGGGGGAGAGAGAGAGAGAGAGGAGGTAGAGGAGAGGGGACAGGGGAGGGGAGAGAGCACGGGAGAGTGGAGAGGGGAGACGAGCATGCTAGCGCGCAAAGGCGAAATGGGCTGGTTCTGCGCTAGGGTGGTGGGGTAGTCAAGGAATGCTCTGACCTGAAGGAAACTCACCTCCAATTCACCCTGAAGGGGTCAAATGACTTCTACGGGTACTGCATACCCACTCACGCTTCTACCTCTAAA